CAGTTGAGGTGTCTAACCTTCTCACTGAATAGCGACCGCTTTACCTGCTCGGTCAGCGGTTCATCGAGACCCGCAAGGATGTGATCCCACTTCGCGATGAACCTTTCAAGTCGCTCCTCTTCAGTATAGAAAGATGAAACACTGCACCGCAAGTTCGAGAGCTCAATTATCCTGAACGATTGCTCTCCGATATTTGCAGTCCTTAAGTGGTCGTATAAGAGCCACAGGATCTGCCTACTCTTGATGCGATTGTTGGAACGTTGAGCGGCTTCGGTGAGACGATTAATCTTATCGATAATTGCAACAGGCTGCATTGAACCTGGCTTCAAGGATGTGGTATTTACATTCCCCATCCAATTCATCAAAGGTCTTTGCCTTCTCGACTTCAGTTAGCCAATTGATGACGTAAAGTCCATCATAGCTGTAGGCATTGCTAACGGCTTCCTTCATATTGGCTATCCATACCCTCAGCCCAGCCGCGTCGGGCTCTGGCGGGAGGTCTATGGGAATGCACTTAGTCGCAGCTGTACAGTTCGGATCATGGTGGCTACTGTATCCGCCGCCACCAGTTCCGAAAAGATGCTGTGGAACTTGAGAACTACCGATTGACAGTGCACATACAGGACAAAGGCGAGTAGCCTTCGGAATGCAAATCTCACATGCCCTTTTCATGCATATCTTACATTCCTCAATTTTTCTGGGGTCAGGAATATCCCGATCACACATCCGACATTTCTTGTCAGGAGGATCGGGGCCACGCATGGTCGGCGGCTCAAGGCCTGAAGGATCCTTCGGCCTTGTACCGTTGGGATCAAATCCTGGATAATATCCGGTTTCACGTTTATCCAGGGGCACGGGTTGCGCAGCCTTCGGAGGACTCTGAGGTCAGCCCCGTTGGGTTGACCCCCAGTTGGAGTGTCACGGAATCTGTCAACGGGTGGCCGCAGAGGCGGCGAGAACGACCGCGTCGGGTTCGTCTCAGGTACGCCTCCAGGCGATCTATTCCTGACACGGTTACCATCGGGATCCCTTCTTCTCCTAGTTTCGTCCCTAAGGCACGCAAGACAACAGGGACCCTGGACAAATCCAAATCTCCTGTAGTCGTCCTGCCCAGCAGAATGTCTGGTGCAGTAGTAGGTCTTACAAAACTGACACTCAATTCCCTTGGTCAGGAACGAGCTCTCCCTACAGACTCCGCATCGGGGTCCGTTTCGGGAACATTCTTCACACAGGTTCTCTTTAAACGAGAAGCAATACTCACAAATATCACCTCTGCATCCCTTGCAGTGAAACTCAGCCATGAGATGATTATACCCATCACCTACGTATTTACATCTGGGTTTACCAGGGTTGCCAGGGTTCCCACCGGCGGCACTCTTCTTCCCCCCTCCTCCTGGGCTTTGCCAATCTGGAGGAGGAGGTGGTGGAGGATCATCATCAGGAGGGCCAGGTGGAGGTGGCCGCTTATCCGGAGTACGGGATGCGGCACGCCTTCCTCCTGTGTGATCGTTCAATCCACTACTTGAGGCCTGGTTCGAGTGCCTTGACTCTAGGGAGTTAATTCTCTGGGCCGTATTACCCAGCACCTCGAGCATTTGCTCGAGCTTACTGTTGAGCGTAGTCGAAACGGCCATGTTATGAGTATTTTGCTTGTCCGTGTAGGATTTGCAGTCCCTTGACTTTATCTCAAGGTTGGCTTGTGTCTCATAAAGTTGGTCTTTAACCCACTTTATGCCGTCCCTATTATTGGTCCAGCGTTGTTCGATATCTTGAATCATCCTATCAATCTGACATACCCTAGTGGACAGGTCCTCGATTTTGAGGTTTACTCCACCAATCGCAGGATGGTTGGATTGGCTCTCCACTAGAGATCTCTCGATCATATCAACACGAGCTATAAGCCCGGTTACTCGATCAGAAAGGGATTCAAAAACAGTCTGAACCTGGGTGATGGAGCGAGCAACATCATCATAGCTGGCTCGCTCATTTAAGGCATCGCCTATGCTTATCATGCGATTGGAAACGATCTTGACGCGTTGGCCAAGCTCGGTCACGATGTCCTTAGTCCCTTGTGACAGCTGCATGGCCGCGTTCGCAGCCTGCGTACACGTGCTACTCACGTGGACGCATTGGTCGTATTTGGCCCTCCACGAGTTAACCTCAGTGGAGAGCTGCTTGATGCATTGATCACTTCTATCATTCCTACGCCCAAGGTCTTCGACCTTAGCAACCAGGCGATGAATGATCGCACTTACCGAAGAGTCCACTCTCCCTCTTTCAAGGGCTGTTACAAGATCAGCAACCTCGTTGGGTTGCTCCTCACTCGTAGGACCAAATCCTGATCCGCGATCTCGGGGAGTGGACAAATCAACCATGATTGGATTAGATCTCGGAGGAGTTCTGAAATCATCCTGCACGGCCGTTGACGGTCGTGGGAACTCACTCCGATTAGGAGATTGACTCTGATACGGAGCAGATCTCCTAGCATCACGAACCGCACAGGGTTGTGTCATGCCCAGGCCTTTGGCCACAGACAGTTTAGGAACAACAGGCCTATCAGTCCGCATAGGAACATCAGGTCTCGAGTCAGCAATAACAATGTCATTCAAGTCGGTCGCATTGGACACTCTAGACTCAGACATCGATTCAATATCAGTCGCATTACTGATGGTGTGATTGCGACTAGAACTTGATGCCATCATGGACTCAGATTCTATCGGAACATTAGCTCCGTCCATGTCGTCCAGAGCGAAAATGGAAGCCGCGTTGGGCGTAGGGCGAACACCTTGTGCGTTCAAGCCATTTGACCTATTAAATTCCTCCTGGAATGCTTCGATCCCATCAAGCACGTTAACGAGTGTGTCCGCGTTTAACGGGTCTCTGCCAATGATCGACGCTGGATCACCTGATCGACCGCGTCCTGAGTCCCGCGTATTGGGGTTACCCCTGTGGGCAGTTTCCCGATCCATCCCCCTTGCCCTATGCGATCCAGTCGAATTTGACCTTGATCGCTTGCTTGGGGTTGGACTGGGATGTAAATCCAATCTATCTACGATATTACGCTCCCTAGGGCTCTCAAATCCTGAAAGTCCTGGGGGAGGGGACATGTTCCTCATGGTCGGGTTTACCGACGGTCTTGGCCTAACGTTACGGCTGGCCACGTCAGGATTGAGATTCTCAATCGACAAAGGTAGCATGAATTCATCGCTTCCAGCAGCCCGTTTTGGGCTTTGGAATTGCGGGAAAGATGACGGGGCGGGTGGCCCTGGCATCCATGCGGCAAAATCCATACCAAAAATGTTTCCGTCGTTGGGCCATGAGGCTCTCCAATCGAGCCCACCGGATTCGGTCGGCAGATGAACATCAAATGCAACTCCACTGGATGTACCAGGTTCGGGATTACCGAGCACTTGAAAAGCTATGCTACTGGTTGGCACAGGTCTACTGCTGCCTCGGGAGTCACGAATTCCGGACTGACCAATATTCATCAGCTCGGGGAAAGATGAGGATTGAGCTCCAGGTGCAATACCGGGCTCGTCATCATCACATCCTGAGACGGAATCATCATGGCCAGGACGATTAGACCCACGACCCTGAGAGCGATTAGCTCTTGAGGCATTAGACGATAGATCATCAGTGCGAGTAGCACTGGATCTCCCTGAAGGCATTGCTTCTGAAAAAGTGTGGTCCGACAAAAAGTCAGGACCAGAAAACATCGGCTGTCCGGGCACTTGGTCGTCATTCACAACGTCCAAGATTCCGGCCTGGCCGAGAACCCACTCATCGGTCACCACATGAGGTCCGTCCTCAGTGATTCCCGCCATGACGCCTACAGAAACCTACGGTACCTGCAGGGTTATTATTAAAAGGGGTTCGCGGTGCCAACCGAGGACGAATCCTACGGCTGATAACCTGCGAAAGGGTTTGAAACAGAGTTTCGGGATGGATAAAACAGGCCCTAACCCACCAACAAGAAGAGACCACCTTATCCCCCCGGTCCCAAGGGCAAAGCAGTTGCCCCCGGCCGGCACTAACACGAACCAAAAGGGGTTTGGGTGCCTCGTTGTAACAAGAAGGAACCAAGCAGAAGCGCAGCAAAGCGCAAGGCAGGCAAGCAAACCAGCAGCAAGCAGCACCAAGCGAGCAAAGCGAGCAAGCGTGCAGAAGCAAAACAAAGCGCACACCACCGAACAAACAACCGACCCACAACCAAAGGACGTGCCTACCGCCGCGAGGCTCAACCCGCCCTTTTCCGGGAACGAGGTGAGCAGCGGCGCCGCAGGCTGCCGATGACGTTATGGCGGCGCGGTTCGCCGTGGTGAAATCTTGAGCCAAATGGCGCATTGGCCATGGCAATGATCAAACATGCTATGATAAAAGTACATGCCCCCAAAAACAGATAGGATAGGTCTTGCAAGGAGACTTGAAGTGCTGGCGTCGCCAGACCATGAATCGTTTCAGGTCGGCACACCACAAGGACGGCGGCACAAGATTTCGATCGACAGTCGTTTTGACACATAGCCACGTTTATGCTATGCACGCCTGCGGGGGGAGGGTGCCACATCTCCAACAAGAGCTGAAATCAGACTGGTCGGCACCGATTTGGCGAACGGCACGCCTCTAGCGTCGCCTCCAAGCACATGAATGAGCTGTCAAACGTAACAGACACACACACAGGGGAAAAGCAATGGAGCGAAGCATGTTGGTACCCACAAACAGCCCTCCTGCAGATTGGCAAGCTGTACTGTGAACTTTAGATTAATCCGGGAGGACCGCACCACTCACAGTTCCCATTTAGTGGCGACTTGCTTCACTTCGTGGGGGTCCTCTAATTAGCATGGTCCTTCGGATCAATCCGCCTAAAGCACCCCTTATTTTTGGCGGTGTGCTATAACAGGCTCGGAAGTGAAACATTTGGGTGGCCAACTCACTTGTCACTTTCGATAGAGTCACCTGCCCTTCATGGCCCTCCATGCCCTCCATGGCCCGAGGCCCCCGGCGCATGACAGAAGTCGCAGAGCCAAGATTTCTTGCAGGCCCTCGGGGAAGGCATCTGGGAAAAATGGGATGCACCTGAAGTATCAACATCTGGAAAAAAGGAAAAATGGGAGCTCTGGTTTCAACATCTCGGGATGGACCTGCAGTTGAAAGTAGAGTCCTTCATGTTGGCTTAGTCATCCCCTTTACTTACAAGTTATGCCTACTTGCGCCTTGGTGTACATAGTCCGGACCTGGAAGCCTTGAGATAAAACGAATGTAAGATCGGCATGGACCTTCTCGTGGCGGCTGTGGTGCAATGTCGAGAGTTTGAACGGCTTGGAGACTGTGGGTCCTCTTGAACGCAATAATGTACAGAATTGGTTTATCTATCTACATGTCCATCTATTTCTCAATTCATGTGCTTACTATATAGATATGTGTATGCATAGTATGTATTTACTGAAAGTTATCTATAATATATATATATATGTATCAATGTGTGTGTGTGTGTGTGTTCATGATCATGATTGTACTTATGTTCACGTTTATATTGATATATGTACATTCATATCATGTATATCTATGCGTACATACTAGTTCTGGCTTTGCTGCCGCGGCCGTTCCACCTCTTCTCGTTGACCAGGGGGGAGGGGATGCGCAACATCTTGAAGGAAGCCGAAGAACATTGAGCATCGCCCTTCCAAGGGTTTTAGGGGTTGGTCCCTGAATGGCTGGTTTCCTTGCGGTTTCCCTTGAAGTACCAACCAAAAGGCCCCATCGAAAGGCTCCTTCATCGCATGGTGGCAATCGTTCTGTTGCTGCTTTTAATTACATGACTCGGGCCAAAAGGGCGTGTGGCTGTGACATTGGGCCTTGTGGAATCCTGAAACGACTTTCGGGTAGGTGGGTGCAGTCACAAAACGGCAGACCACAATGGCACAATGAACCCTGGCGATGCCATATGGGCGAATGAATGTGAGACCCGTATCCAAAGACCGGGCGGAAGATGTGACGGGCGCAAAACATCTTAGAATACGCGAAAAAAGCTCGGGGCTCGTATGTGACCGTTCCCACGCAAAAGCTGAGGCAAATCTCAGGGGTGCCTGCGGCACCTCTTTCCCCCGCGGGGTACGGTCCGGGACCCCCGCCGCAGGGTACCAGAGAATGAGCAAACCTGACGGACGAAGCCCAGATTTGCCCGATCCATTCAAGAAGCGCACATGGCTAGTCAACACCCTGTAGCCCTGGTGAACATCAAAATGGGTGGCAAATGGATGTTCATCCACCCCAAATCGAGCCATAGGTTCTGCCCCATGGCCACATTAAGGGCATCAATTGATCTGATCGGCAGTCCCGACGCTTCGAATGCGAACAAAGTGTTGACCCCGTGTTGCCAAAGAAGATCCATGAGGCAAACTGACAAATGCCCGAAGAGATGAAGCGATCCAGGAAGTCAAGGGAATGTTGACCAAAACCTCAACAAACCTCACACCGGGGCTGCGGCTTGTGGGGGCCTGTCTATAACAACAGGCAAGATTTGGCAGGGAAAAAATGTTTATGCGAAGGTTTATAGTGTATGATTGCGAAAGCAACCGCGTTGTGCCCCACAAATTTCCGAGGAGCTGGTCTCAAACGATTCCACAGGTTCCACTCGTCACAGGCATGGCTCCTACGAGTTCCTGAGGCCTCTCCAAAGCACATCCCCCCCACAAGGCAGCGCTCTGAAGAAGCCAAGAGTGGGCGAAGTGGGTGAGTGCCAAAGGATGTAGCTGGCAAAATTGGAGTTTGTTCAAGTCCAGCACTGAAGCCAAAGACCACCCAAGAAATGAATGCGTAGCTCGGGCAAATCTCAGCGCTGGTCCATGGAAAGCAAACCCAGGAAAATGCAAAGCATCCCAGGGGTCCTCGGGGATCAACAAGGCACCCACAAACTGACTGGTTGAGGATCAGTTATCCAGAACTGTCACCGTGTACCCAAAAGGGTGTACCCCTCAAGGCCCGAAGACATATCCCCCGAAATAGCTGGCATTTCGTGCAAACACACCTTGGATGTCGCACCCAATTGGAGCAACACCCATCCGGGTATATGGCAACGTTACTTGATATGCTATCTCTAAGCATGCCTATATCATGCTCACATCATAAGCCCGGCATTCACGGCCTACACACAAAGCATATTTTGGGGGAGGGGGGCAGTAGGCAAAGGGAGACACGAGCCCCATGAACCTGTCTTGCTTTCCCCTTACCTACCAAAAAAAACAAAAACAACCTGCCGCGCAAGGCAACGGGAGGCAACCGCCGAGCAACGGAGCCTTGAACGCCAACAGCTAGCTGGTAATGTTGACAAAATATTAATCAACCCCAGCTTGTCAATAGGGGGGCGTCCCTGGGTTGAGTGCGGAATCATCACTTTGCGAGGGGAACGCCCATTAATCAACGTTGATCAACATGGGGTCAGCATTGTGCTCAGGAAATCCACGGTTTTGGGGTTGCCCAAACCCGTGCATTTCTCATGGCCCAGGTACCGAGTCACTGGAAAACCCCGTCCCGAGACTCGAGCCTGGCACAAGATGGTGCAGTTCGCCCCGAGATGGAGCGAGGTGCCGAAGGACCTAGTTTGTCGTCCGCCCCTCAGCCGGGCACATGGCAGACGCGGCAAGCCACGAAGCTGGCAAGCAAGCAGGCAAACAAGAAAACACGCCAGCGCGCAAACAAGCTGCGCATGGCAAAAACAAAGAAAACACGCGCAAATGAGCAACCAAGCAAATGTACACAAAACAAACAAGCCAACAAGCAAACAGTTGAGACATGCAAATATGCAGACAAGCAAACGAGACGAGCAAACAAGCAACTCCACCAAGCAGGCAAGCAAACATGCTGGATAAGAATGCAAACATACAGGTATGCAAACAAGCAAATATGCAAATATGCAAATATGCAAACAAGCAAGCAAACAACTAAAATGTCAAACAATGCCACAAAACACACCACCTGCTCCAAAACGGAACCTTCTCAACTCGCTTGTCACTGTGATTTCCATGATTTCACAGCCATTTGCCAGGAGCCCTGCGTGCTTGAGCTGCATGTAATTGTCATCCAAGTTCCACCAGTACCATGTTTTGGCAAGTGCACCCATATCACTTCCTTTCATATCTAATGAACAACACACCATTTTTCAAACGAGCTAGGTACCCCTCCAGTTCTGACACGGACCCATACAACGTTCAGTCTCGGCAAGGCGAAGGCATCGTCCAATGCTGATATTCTTCCAGGAGTGTCAGATTCGGACAGTTCGATTCCCACATGATTCCAGCTACCCAAACGGCTCAAGACCCACTAAGGTGCCGAGTGGGTTGCAAAGCTCAAAATTGGCCATTGCCAATGCCACAATGCAATCCAACGCCCTACATGTTCAATTGTGCGGACGCTTCTCAGGCATGAACGCATTTCTGCCACAAGAATTAGAACAAGAAGCGACTCAAAAGAAGATCGCGCAACTGTAGTGAAAGTCAACTGTGAACAGCATGAGGAACTTGCAAGTCAGAAGCCGCTTCGATTTCTTTCGAAGCGACGTCTTATCAAGCTCCTGCTTAGTCTGAGGGTGATCTTTCCAGCCTCACTTGCCATGTCACAGCCATTTTGCAGGCCCAAACCCAACAAAAAATGCCCGAAAGAAGCGGGTTGCAAAAGAGACCCTAAGTGTCCATCAGAATCCCGCCCCCCCCCCCCCCTTTTCCCCGCGGCATCCGTGATCTAGGCTCGTGGCGACATCCGGTGCAGGATCCTGAAGAAAAGCTGTAGGCATAGATGCTTTCCAAACATTTTGATTGGGGGTGAAGTCGGAGACAGCTGCTCGGCCAATCGGCCAATGATGTGGGAAGGGGGGGGTCTCAGCTTTGCGTAGTGACCAACCAGTTTTGGATTAGCAACTCCACCGGATTTGTTGGGGGCGGTGCCATTTTAGAAGGCCGCGAGTCGATTGAGAGTATGTCCTGTAAATGCGAGTGAAGTTTGGGAAGGAGGCTTGCGCATGTTGGGGCCACCTGCGTTGCTCGTGAATGCCATGTTATCAATTGAAAGCCCTAGAGCAACTAGTCAGTGTTGGAGGACTCCACAGTTCTTGAGATTGCTAAACCCATTTGTAATAGGTTCTGACAGAAACAAGAGTGGGCAGGTGCAGTAGCTTGGGTCCCTTGAATGATGAGCGGTATCAGTCTGTGCCATTGGCCTTGAAAGGCAAGCCCCATTTGTTTGAGTGGGTAGCAGGGTCTCTTGGACGATGAATGTAAAACGCACTTTGCACCATGTGAGCCGGAGGCAACATACATATTGATGCATAGCTAAGAAATCGACATGCAGAACACACACGACAGGTTTCCAGGGATACTGACAAGGCTCGCATGTTTAGAGAACACGTTTCCGGTAGGCATTGGGCGAGATGGGTGTGTTCTCATAAAGCCTTGGCATTGGCCTATGGTATCTCAAAAGCAAGTGGCAAGCACCACTCTTTGCACTAGCTACGCTTCTTTTTCTTATGCATATGGTTAATGTGGCGTTTTTCATGCAAGCACAAGGCCTTTTTGAGAGCAACCCAAGTGAGTCAAGACAAGTGACTTCCCAGCAATGAGCTCTCTTCCTAAGTACATGGACGGCAGACTTTTTGGGAAGACCTGTGGCAAAACACCTGTTTGGACTTTGTTTGGCCAGTCCACTCAGGAAGTGAGTAAGGGAAATCATGCAGTGTTCTGGATACACCCGTTCTATTTGGGACTGCTGGGGAAGCTTTCCTTTTGGGCTTCCTTTGCCAACGTGCTCCTGTTGGCTGTCCTTTAAAACCAACCAAACAGGGGTTCCCATAAAAGCATGACGCACCGATCACCATGGAATGAGGTCACCGCAAGCACCCGAGGAAAGAGCGGAGCAAGCCAACGCGGTGCCAAGAGAGATGGAGAGAGAGAGGAGAGAGGAAAAGAAAGAAAGAAAGAATCAAAGAAAAAACAAGAGCAGAAAGAAAGAAAAGAAAAGAAAATAAAAGAAAAGAAAAGAAAAGAAAAAGAAAGAAAGAAAGAAAGAAAGAAAGAAAGGAAGAAAGCAAGCAAGCGAGCAAAGAACGAAAGAACGAAAGCAAAGAAGCAAAGAAGCAAAGAAGCAAAGAAGCAAAGAAGCAAAGAAGCAAAGAAAGAAAGAAAGAAAGAAAGAAAGAAAGAAAGAAAGAAAGAAAGAAAGAAAGAAAGGAAGGAAGGAAGGAAGAGGCAAGAACAAAAACAAAAAAACACCACCAAAGAAAATATAAAGAAAGAAAGCAATAACGAAAAATGAGCATAACCGAAATGAAAACAACGGAAACTTAAAAGAAAATATGAAGTAAACAGAAAAGGAAGTAATAACGTAAGAAAGTAAGTAAGAAAGAAAGAAAGAAGGAAAGAAAACATGAAGGATCACACGCAAGGAAAAGTAGCCGAAGACAACAAGGGAAATGCGAAAGAAGGGAACACATTCTCGGCCTCATGCATTAATTGTCGCGTGACATAGTTGCCACCACCAACCCTCCGGGACATCACTGCGTCCGGCGTGTTTTGCAGTTCACGTCGGGTGGTCATTACTGGGCTATCCGTTGCATCTGCAGTGCGGAGTAGTTTTTGTATTTGACAGCAAGTGCAAAAGGTAATAGTGGTCCAACCAATGCAAAGTGGCCGTGGATATGAGGCAGTTGAGTTGGCCCAAAGAGCAGTTAGTTGTTGTTTGAAGATGCCCCAAACCAAAACTGGAGTGAACAGAACAGGCCACGCCGCATTTGACCAGCGCCGACAAGAATCGGCCTTTAAGCTGCTTGACCGGTTTTGTTTCGCCATGGATGCCATCGACCTCCAAACTTCCAACAGAAAATTCCTGGGTCACCGAAGGCCGTTGGAGCCTCCGGAAAAGGGCCAATTTTCAGCGCCCCAGCGCGGCCCCTTCGCGTGCAGCCCGAGGAGCAAACAGTCGCTCAAAGCAACTTGCTTGCGGCTGCTCAAGGGGCCTGCACCCAATGCGAGTCGGAGCCGCAGAAAACGGGGCAAAACGGGCACGTGCTCAGGTAGGGGGACCCCCAAAAACAGCTGGTGTTCGCATTTGGGCTTCCCTTTACGACAGAAAGGGTGCCCTCAAAAAAAGGAAGAGACCCATATGAGTGCGGTCTTTTTCGATATCCCACTTTGGGGGTTGTTTTGCACCCCCCAATTTTCACCTCAGGTCCTGCGTTGCCCAAGTCTAGGTCTCCGAAGTCACTCAAACGGTGCCTTAACAACATATTAGGAACAATGATCCTCAAAATGTGGAACCTGCAAAAATTGGACGGCCGCAACATGCCCAAAACCACGCTCAAATGTAAAAACATGCGCAGTCTCAGGGCATTCAAGGATGGATGATCACTATTATTAAAATTAGATGTTATAGTAGAATTTAAATTATTTATTAAATTTGTATTTGATGAAATATTATTAAAATTTGTATTAATTAAATTAGAATTAGAACTAACCCTGCTGGCAGTCAGCAAGGTGATAAACATGCGCGTCAAAATAAAATGAGCACCCAGCCATCCAACGCCAGGGTTCAGGCAATGGGCTCCCACGAACTGAACAAATCCCGCGAACTCTGCCGCCGGTCCTTCAATCAAACCACTTCCGACGGGGATAGGATCGCATGACGGGAGAAGGTGGCAGAGGTAGCCAGATTCAAAGGCTGGGCAAAGCACCTCTCAGGAAGGCAACTAAGAACATCAAGATACGCTCACCCCAGGTGTTTCTGATTTCATGGGCTCTTGAATTCAGTGGTTCCGAAACCCACCAGTCACAGCATCAAACAACCAGAGAACGCAGGCGTGCTCTGCAAACTTGTCCAGAACCGATCAGCCCCAGCCGTACCAACTTGGAATCAATAACCCGGGGTTTGGATTGGCAAGATGTTGCCTACATCGAGGCAACTGATACGACCTCTGGGGCCCACCAAATGCTGCATAAGACACTTTTCAGCCAGCAAGGAAACACAGTAAACTTTGCACATGGCTCTCCGTCCATATCCTGGGCCCTGTGGAGACCCTCTCATTATGGCAAAACAAAAAGCAACAGCCAGGGGCCACATGTTCAAAAAACACCAGTGGCCGGCCGGGCCAGAGTCCCAGCCAAAACACATGAGAGACTGCCAAAACAGCCTCTCACCACCTCTGCGCATGTGTGATCATATTCCCCATCCAAACCTTGCACCTTGAGGCACAACCCTCGGCCATGAGCCTTGCACCCTGGAAAAAAGCCCCAATGGCCGTTGCTCCCCGCCGTTCCTTCTGACCCGCGCCTTGCATGCACCTCTGGTGAAGAGGACTGTTCACTGGCGCCTGCTGGCCTGACTCAATCCGTCTCGATCAAAGCAAACGTGGCTGGAAGGTGGGCAAAAAGGAGACCCCTGTCTTGTTGGAGGAAATGAAATGGACACCAAATCCTTTGGGGGTGAATAGGGGACACCCAAATGAACATTCCATGACGAAAGGAACGCCTGTATTCATCAACCTGGCTTGTGCTTTGGGGGGTGCGACCTCCAGTAGAGAATGCCTCGACAGCAATTCCCATTGCCCAGCTTCAGCATTGTTCCTTTGGGCTCAATTACCTTGAACAACATTCACAAACCGGGCCACGCCCAATGTCAAAAGATGCTGACAACCTGTCAGCTACTCCTCTCGATGGCTGCCCAGGCGACGCGGCGACGCCCCGGTGCGCCTTGAGCGAACTCTTGGAATTGTTGCTTTAGGACGGTCCGGACTGCCTGGCAGGCGGCAGGCGCACGCGAGGATGGATTTGCCGCATGATGGCAACCACTCCCTGGGAAAACGGCACGTCGACAGCCAGACTGCCGCAAGCTATCTTTGCAAGCCCCTAGCACCATGAGCCCATGACACCTGAATCCCCACGGTGACTCTGGGCGCAACATGCCACTCGGCTCAGGCCATTGTCACCAAGAAATCCCTGAGTCATCCCTAAGTCACCCGGACATCCAACTTCTGCAGACCTTGCTGAGTGTATCGCGCTCTCCTTTTCAGCAACAAAAACCACAAAACCCAATCAGCGTGAGCTGAGTTGACTTGGAATCAGAGGCAAAGCTCATATGACCGTCGTGATGTCAGTCTCATCATGCTGGGCCACCCACACTCCCCACGAGCAACAACCAAGTTGTGAAAACCAGCACTCATAGTCTGCAGCCCACTTGCTTCTGCCTTGCCACGCCACGCTGTTAACTCTCACCTGCTCAAGCAGTTGGTTAAGAAGCCTGTGCATCAAGTCTAATCCCCCATCACACTCTTTCCTTCCTGCAGTCCTCTTTCATCCGGCATTGTCATCTCTTGCCAGCCCCTATCATGGACCCTCACCTCATTGAATCCCTGTATCACATGTCATCACTCCCCTCTTTTGTGATGGTCAGCTATCCCCTGCGGTGATACCAGGGGAGATGGCAACCACTCCCTGGGAAAAAGGCACGGCGACAGCCAGACTGCCGCAAGCTATCTTTGCAAGCCCCTAGCACCATGAGCCCATGACACCTGAATCCCCACGGTGACTCTGGGCGCAACATACCACTCGGCTCAGGCCATTGTCACCAAGAAATCCCTGAGTCATCCCTAAGTCACCCGGACATCCAACTTCTGCAGACCTTGCTGAGTGTATCCACTCTCCTTTTCAGCCACAAAAACCACAAAACCCAATCAGCGTGAGCTGAGTTGACTTGGAATCAGAGGCAAAGCTCATATGACCGTCGTGATGTCAGTCTCATCATGCTGGGCCACTCACACTCCCCACAAGCAACAAGCAAGTCGTGAAAACCAGCACTCATAGTCTGCCGCCCACTTGCTTCTGCCTTGCCACGCCACGCTGTTAACTCTCACCTGCTCAAGCAGTTGGTTGAGAAGCCTGTGCATCAAGTCTAATCCCCCATCACACTCTGTCCTTCCTGCAGTCCTCTTTCATCCGGCATTGTCATCTCTTGCCAGCCCCTATCATGGACCCTCACCTCATTGAATCCCTGTATCACATGTCATCATTCCCCTCTTGTGTGATGGTCAGCTATCCCCTGCGGTGATACCAGGGGAGATGGCAACCACTCCCTGGGAAAACGGCACGGCGACAGCCAGACTGCTGCAAGCTATCTTTGCAAGCCCCTAGCACCATGAGCCCATGACACCTGAATCCCCACGGTGACTCTGGGCGCAACATGCCACTCGGCTCAGGCCATTGTCACCAACAAATCCCTGAGTCATCCTCAAGTCACCCGGACGCTCTCCTTTTCAGCAACAAAAACCACAAAACCCAATCAGCGTGAGCTGAGTTGACTTGGAATCAGAGGCAAAGCTCATATGACCGTCGTGATGTCAGTCTCATCATGCTGGGCCACTCGCACTCCCCACAAGCAACAAGCAAGTCGTGAAAACCAGCACTCATAGTCTGCCGCCCACTTGCTTCTGCCTTGCCACGCCACGCTGTTAACTCTCACCTGCTCAAGCAGTTGGTTGAGAAGCCTGTGCATCAAGTCTAATCCCCCATCACACTCTGTCCTTCCTGCAGTCCTCTTTCATCCGGCATTGTCATCTCTTGCCAGCCCCTATCATGGACCCTCACCTCATTGAATCCCTGTATCACATGTCATCATTCCCCTCTTTTGTGATGGTCAGCTATCCCCTGCGGTGATACCAGGGGAGATGGCAACCACTCCCTGGGAAAAAGGCACGGCGACAGCCAGACTGCCGCAAGCTATCTTTTGCAAGCCCCTAGCACCATGAGCCCATGACACCTGAATCCCCACGGTGACTCTGGGCGCAACATACCACTCGGCTCAGGCCATTGTCACTAAGAAATCCCTGAGTCATCCCTAAGTCAGCCGGACATCCAACTTCTGCAGATCGTGCTCTCCTTTTCAGCAACAAAAACCACAAAACCCAATCAGCGTGAGCTGAGTTGACTTGGAATCAGAGGCAAAGCTCATATGACCGTCGTGATGTCAGTCTCATCATGCTGGGCCACTCACACTCCCCACAAGCAACAAGCAAGTCGTGAAAACCAGCACTCATAGTCTGCCGCCCACTTGCTTCTGCCTTGCCATGCCACGCTGTTAACTCTCACCTGCTCAAGAAGTTGGTTGAGAAGCCTGTGCATCAAGTCTAATCCCCTATCACACTCTTTCCTTCCTGCAGTCCTCTTTCATCCGGCATTGTCATCTCTTGCCAGCCCCTATCATGGACCCTCACCTCATTGAATCCCTGTATTACATATCATCACTCCCCTCTTTTGTGATGGTCAGCTATCCCCTGCGGTGATACCAGGGGAGATGGCAACCACTCCCTGGGAAAAAGGCACGGCGACAGCCAGACTGCTGCAAGCTATCTTTGCAAGCCCCTAGCACCATGAGCCCATGACACCTGAATCCCCACGGTGACTCTGGGCGCAACATACCACTCGGCTCAGGCCATTGTCACCAAGAAATCCCCGAGTCATCCCTAAGTCACCCGGACATCCAACTTCTGCAGACCTTGCTGAGTGTATCCACTCTCCTTTTCAGCCACAAAAACCACAAAACCCAAACAGCGTGAGCTGAGTTGACTTGGAATCAGAGGCAAAGCTCATGTGACCGTCGTGATGTCAGTCTCATCATGCTGGGCCTCTCACACTCCCCACAAGCAACAAGCAAGTCGTGAAAACCAGAGCACTCATAGTCTGCCGCCCACTTGCTTCTGGCTTGCCACGCCACGCTGTTAACTCTCACCTGCTCAAGCAGTTGGTTGAGAAGCCTGTGCATCAAGTCTGCGAAAGGGTTTGAAACAGAGTTTCGGGATGGATAAAACAGGCCCTAACCCACCAACAAGAAGAGACCACCTTATCCCCCCGGTCCCAAGGGCAAAGCGGTTGCCCTCGGCCGACACAAACACGAACCAAAAGGGGTGCCAGTTTAACTAACAGAAGAAAGAACCCAGCAAGGGCAGCAGCGCAGCAAGCGCACGAGCAGCAGCACCAACGCGGGCAAGCAAAGCGAGCGAAGCAAGCAAAGCAAACCAAATGCGCACCAACCCCAACCAGAACCCCCGACCAACCTCCACCGGAAACACCACCACGAGCGCTCAGCAGCGGCACTGTTTGCCGAAGATGAGCGTGACGTGCCGCAGTGCGCGGTGACGAAATTGCAAGGGCTAGTTGCCGGATTGAAAAGCTTGAGCCAAAAGCCGCGTTGGGCTTCGGCATGAAACATGCTATGATAAAAGTACATGCCCCCAAAAACACCCCCCTCGCCTGTACAAAGAGAAGGAGTGAATTTGGAAGGGCGCATTGGCCATGTTGAAGTTGAAAAGCAAATAAAAAGAAAACAGAGCCGATTAGGCTACCAGGGTTCGCGGCCCCATACCCGGGCACTCATTGGTGCCCGGATCCCGCCACCACCCCGAATTACGGGTATGGGGCGGATTCGCGCCGGTAGCCAAATCAAACAAGAGAAAGCAAAAAGAAACAGAAACAAAGATTCAACTCCAGAATGGCAGGCATGAAATAAAAATACATTTGCACTGCAACCACATCGAACCGTAAGGTTCGAGTGGATTTATTTCCTGAATTCATGATTTAGGCGCATTGGCCCACTGGTTGAAACGTGGTGCTTCGACCACAAGACCACGGTCTTTAAATTAGCACCGTCTAGGCGCGCGATCACGCAAAGACCTTCGGTAGGAACACCACCAGCTGCAATCAGCGGTTCAGGTCCGAATAGGACCTCACCGGCAGCGGTGCAGCGCGTCCGTGATCCTCACCACAGCACCTTGATGAGCTCCATCACCAGCAGCAGCAGCGGTGCTGGAGAAAGCAGATCACCAGCGGCCATAGACGCCGCCGAGGATGACTTCCTTGCTGCGGCGACATACACCTGACAGGTAATCGCTGCCTGCGCGAATAGCGCACAGCTGCGCATGCAGTTGAATTCCGAAATGGCGAATAGCCCAAACACAGAAATACTACAAGGAGCATAGTCCATTATGTGAATTCCGGAATGAAGGCATGCGCGCGTTGGCGCCGCCACGCAAAGGAAGCAGACGAACATCAGGTATCACCGATGTCGTCCGCCGCCGTGCCGTCCCCTCCCCTTGTTGACGTTCCAGTCCCCAGGAGGAGGAGGCACGGTCTCGGCCAACTCATCATCCGCACCCCAGGTAGGGGTATGCGGCGAGTTCGGATTCTCGAACTCGCGGGGATCACCCTGCATGTGCGGCTGCCAACCCTGCGGCATTGCGCCAGGCCACATTTGCGGCATCATGCCAGCCATTGGCTGTTGCATGTACCCTCCCATTGGGAAAGCGGGGTACATCGGACTCGGGAAAGGGTAAGGAGCTGCCTGAGCACCCTTGTATCCCGACCCGCGAGCATCAGGCTGATACCCGCCAGTGGGAGTTCTCGATCTGGCGGATCCGCCACGACCGAACTGCCCTGTTGGTAGCCGTATTGGCCACCCTTGCCTTTGTACTGATCACCTTTGTGACCCTTTCCTGGGAACTGGTCACCCTTGTGACCTCCGCCCTTGGGCCATGATTGCGCAGGGGCTTTGCCCTTTTGCTGATCACCCTTTGACCTGGATTCAGGTCGCGGGGTAGCAGACCGCTGGTCTCCCCTAGGAGTGGCTGCCCGCCTGTGGTGCTTCCCAACCGGCGGGTCAGCAAAAACAATGGCGCATTGGCCGTCGCGCCGCGAAGCGGGGACCATGTCAACCTTGTTGTCTTCGACATAAATGTATGCCTCAGCATA